GAGAAACCATGGCCCCCGCCACGAGATCCCCCCCCCGGTCATCACCCCCCCTCTTGGCCGCGCCAGGTCCCTTGCCTCCGACGGGTTGCAAGCCGTGCCTGGGCCCCGGGGCTCTCTCCCCGGGGCTGGCCCTTCGGAGCCTGGGGGAATTTCCTGGCGGCCCTCTGGGCGTAGGTGGTTCCGGGAGTTTCCTCTTCCAACCTCCTTCATCCCCTTCGGGGAGGGGTTTACCCCTCCCCCTAACCCCCTCCCCTGGACTTGGACGGGGGGGGGCCGCTGGTAGTTAGAGCGTCCAAAACGGCCTCGGCGAGGAAGCGTCAAGAATTTCCTGGCGGCCCCGAGGCTCAAAAGAGGGAACCGAACTCTGTGCACCGACGCCTTTTCAGGCCCTGCGCCGAAACTCGCACAGGAAAGCGGATCCTGGTGCAGGAGGAGGAGGAGGAGAAAGAGAGGAGGAGGGAGGAGGAAGAGGAGGAGGGAGAAGGGAGGAAGAGGAGGAGGAGGTGCATACGGGATCCTGTATGTATACATGTTCCGCTGTGCTCCCGGGAAACGGGAAAAAAGTATACACCACACCACCCCGACGTCGTCCCCGACCCTCAGAAAGTCCTTGGATTGAGAAGCAGCCCGCCACTGGTAATGTAGATGTTCCAGTTTCTGACAAGGAGGAGCGAGCCAACAGGACCACCTCCTGGGGTCATCGTTAAGTCGTCCCCCAACGGGAAAGAACACCACCCCCATGAGAGAACGCCCCCCCTCCCCGAGAAACAAATCTCCTGCTCGTCCTCGGCTTCGCCCTCTCCCTTGCCCTCGTCGTCCTCCCCCCTTCCCCCTTTCCCCCTTCCCCAAATATGGGCACCGCCCCCGGTGAACGTGTTGTCATTCGGCGTTTCGGGGGGGGGGAGGGGGGGTCTGGCTCCGGACCTCCGCTGCATGCGACGGTTTGCAACAGTGCGCCCGATGGGGGAGACCTCACCTGCACGAGACAGGCGCCCCCAAACAGCCACGATCTTTTCCATGGCGGGGGGGGGATAGGTACGTCGCTACTGCACAACGGTGACGTGCACATTCTCTCTTGTGTATACCTTTGTATGCAAACGATTCTGGTTGTATGAGTACGCTCTACTCTTTGTGTAGGTTCACTCTTCGTTGTGTGAGTACGCTCTACTGTTGTCGGGTCGGGCGAAAGGGGGGGATAGCAAAGGGGGGGTTTGAGAATCAGCTCACGTAGCTGATTTTCCCGGCGCCTCCCGGCGCCGAAGGCGCCCATGTATCCAGGAATGGGCCCCTCGGTGAGGCCGAAACCAGCTGCATGCAGCAGATTTCGTACCCCCCCCTTTCCCAATCCCCCCTTTTCGCCCGGCCCGATTCTGGTGGGGGGGAGGGGTGCGAGGGCCAGCGCCGATCGGCAACCCAAAGCAGAAGAACACGATCACCCGTGGATCGGTGCTCCCGCGGGGCCGGAGCGGCGCGCGCGCGGCGCCGATCTCTCCGGGTGCCCGTGCGGCCACGGGGGTGCCGCCTCTGCCCCGCAGGGACCCGCCTCTCCCGGCAGGCGTGTCGCCCCCACGGGCCAGGATCGGCCCCAGGTCAGCTCGGGAGGTCGGCTCGCATCGGAGTGTGCGTCGCACCGGGCTGCGTCTCGGCGACGAAGGAGGGGGAGGAAAGAGAAGGGGAAGGCCTTCTCAGAAGGCTCAAAAGCTCCCGGCCTTCTGAGAGGCTGTCCAAGCCTTCCCCGGAAACAACAACAAACTTCTCAGAAGGCGCGACGACTTCTGAGGAGTCCCGCCGTCCTCTGAGAAGGCCTTATCCTTGTCACTTCCCCCCCCCTGCTCTCCGCCGAACATCGGCACGGAGTCGAAACCGAATCGGATCGGCCGCGCCAGGATGCGCAATAGCGCCGTGCAGGACTCGGGCAACATCGGATCTGGGAGGGCAGCAAGGTACCGAGACCCCGCTGCTCCACAGACCTCTCTCCAAGGGCGCGGTCGGACTGACACCTCGTGGCGAATCTGGCCGCAACGAAAGGGGGGAGGGTAGCGGTTTTGGTGTCTCTCCTCTGCCGAGGATCGGCGGGACATCGACATCGAGTCGTCGGCATCCATCGAATCGGGCCAGCCCCGGCCGACATCGAAACATATCGATTGCATCGAAGAGGGCCCTGCCTGGGTGCGGACCAGGACTGAGCTTCCTCAGCTCCGCGGCGGCTTGCACCGCACCGTGAGCAGGCAGAGGCGGAGGCAGCGGCGAAGGAGGGGGAGGAGGGGCAGGGGGGGAGAGGAGGGAGGGAGGAGCGAGGAGCAGGGATTGGGAGGAGGAGGGAGGAGGGGGAAAAAGGAGGAGGGGAAGCCGAAGATGCGGAGGGGGGCGGAGGGGAAAGAGGGGGAAGGTGCAAGAGGGAGAGGAGGGAGCAGACGGAGGCGAATGAGGAGGAGGAGGAGGGTTGAAGCGGATGGCGGAGGAGGACGACGATGAGGATCGCTACCGCGCCGCGCTCCTTCGACACTATGGACACGACGCAGACCAGCAGCGCCAAGACGCCAGGGCCCGTCGCCGACTCCGTGCCGTTCGCGAGGTCGCGCAGCAGGACCCACCTCGCCAGGGGCCAGGGGTGAGCGCGCTCCATCCCTGTCCATGTAGATAACCCCCCTGTCTCACCCCCAGACGTGCCAGTAGGGCGGGTTGGGCGTGTCGCGTGAGACTTCCTCACCACTTCTGATCCTGAAACATGAAATCTGCAACATATTCAAAGATGATAGAGGGCGGGTTGCTTTCAACATGTTGTTCTCGTTTTAACACCGCTCGCGTTCGTCTGGGAAGTTACTAACAGCTTCAAGGATGGAAAGCGGGTGGTTTTCGAAACGTGGCTCTCGCCATAAAGCCGCGCACACCCGTCTTCCGAATTGAGCACACTTTTAAGGACGGAGTGCGGGTGGTGTTCAAGATGTGGCTCTCGCCTCAGCGCAGCGAATATTCGCCGTCGAAGTCCACAACAATTTCAAATGAAATCCCAGACATGGAGTCCCCGTGCAATTTGAAACTGTCAGGGCGCAATAGTCACGTTGCTTCGCGGCGCTGGAGTCCTAAGAACGGCGATCTGGTGCGCCCCAAGGTTGTCAGGACGCAACCGTCACGCTGTTTCGATGCATTAACATCCCACGAATTGCGTTTTGGCACGACTCACGACTCCCAGGCGGTTCTTCATAATCAATCATTGTAGGGTTGAAGACGGAACTGCGAGGGAAACTGCATTGACAAAACCACTGATGCGTCTTGGGTTTGAACTGGTCCTCCTCCTCCTCCTCCTCCTCTTCCTCCTCCTCCTGGTCGTCATGCTCCTCCTCCTCCTCCTCCTCCGCCTCCTCTTCCCCTCTTCCCCTTCCACCTCCTGCTCGCCCCTCAGTCTCACCACCATCCTCCTCCTCCTCGTCCTTCTCCTCCTCCTCCTCTCCCTCCTTCTCCTCTTCCTTCTCCTCCTCCTCCTCCTCCTCCTCCTCCTCCTCCTCCTCCTCCTCCTCTCTCCTCCTCCTCCTCCTCCTCCTCTCCTCCTCCTCCTCCTCCTCTCTCCCCTCTTCCTCCTCCTTCTTCTCCTCCTCCTCCTCCTCCTCCTCCTCCTCCTCCTCCTCCTTCTCCTCTCCGTCCCTTCTTCCCTTTCCCCCTCCTGCTCGTCCTTTCCCGTTCGAACGCATTCCGCCAGCGGTGGCAGCCGCCACGGGTTTGCCACCGAAGACGGGGAAAGGCGTCCGAGACTCCGTAGATGCTTTGGGAGCTGGTGCCGGCGACCTGTATGCCACAAGGGTTGCGGTGTCGGAGCCGGCCGGTTTCGGAGTCTGGGGCGGGGCGTCCTCTGCCAGTCTGCCAGCGACTCAGCGAGCCCTGCAGCCTGCCGCGGGCAGGACATGCAGGGTGGTCGCTGGACGCATGTCGGGAAAGGTTTCGCTGTGGTCCTCCCGCCACCCGCAGTTCCAGCTCGCACGTCTCGCCTTCTCACAGGTGCCTGTTTGGAGGAGGGACGAAGGGAAGAGAACGAGAGGGAGGCGGAGGGTAGCCCAGCGAGAGGTCAGGATGCTGACCAGGGGCGGGCCGGCGAGCTGTGTTCAGCCCCCATGTTGATCCTGCCTCGGGCAGGCACGTCTCTGGAGGAGCCCGAGGGCGGCGAGCAGCGCAGAAAAGAGAGAATGTCGCAAGCCAGTCAAGGGGCAGAGGGGGAGAGGGGGGGCAGGAGGGGGACCAGGAAAGGAGACCACGGGAGGCGGGGAAGCCTGGCGCGCCCCGCCGGCTTGCCTTCCTGGGCACGGCTCCGTCAAGGGCCGCCAGGGCGCATGGGTCCGCCCCTGTCGCGTGCCGCGTGGGCGCGAATGCCAAGGGCAGCGGGACACTCGCGACAGATGCGTTGTTTCCTGCCGCCTCCCGCAGCTTCTGCGTTTTGGAGGTCCTGGCCAGCGGCTCGGACGCGTGCCTCGTCCGCTGCTCCGCCGCCGACTCCGCGGCCGAGCACACCGGGAGCCTGGTGTTGCCGCTCGCCGCTCGAGGGAAATAACGTCGGGCTCCAGATTTTTGGCGGCGCGCAGACGGTGGCAAGGGGGAGGGGGAAGGCTTCTTACAGGGAGGCTGCTTCTTACAAGGCGCCGGCCCTACACCTGCAGACAAAGCTCGCGCCTTCTAAGAAAAAGGGTGCTTCTTGAAATCCCCCCCCTCCCACATCTCGCTCAGCAGCGCCACAACAACTGGCGGCCAGCGCGCGCCCTTCTCGCACGGGCTGATCCCAGCGTTGTAGCTGGCCTCCAGCCTCGCCTCCCGCTTCTCGCTGAGGAGAACCAAGGCCCGCTGCCACTGCTCGTGCTTGCCGCAGACCACAGCGCTGTAGCTGATGACGTCGGGCTCCAGCTTCACATCCCGCATTTCGATTAACAGTGCGAGCGCCCACTGCCACTGCTCGCCCTTCTCGCACGTGCTGCTCCCAGCGTTGTAATTGTTACGTTGGGTTCCAGATTCGCCTCTTACATCTCGCTCAGCAACGCCAGCGCCAACTGCCACTGTTCAGCCCTCTCGCACGCGCTGAACCCAGCATTGTAGCTGATGACGTCGGGCTCCAGCTTCATCTTCCGCATCTCGCTCAACAGCGCAATGGCCCGCTGCCACTGCTCGACCTTTGCGCACGCGCGGATCCCAGCTGTGTAACTGATGACGTCGGGCTCCAGCTTCGACTCCCGCATCTCTCTCAGTAGCGCCAGCGCCCGCTGCCAAACCCCGCCCTTCCCGCACGCGCTGATCCCAGCATTTAAGCTGATGTCGTTGGGCTTCAGTTTCGCCCCCCGCATCTCGCTGAGGAGAGCCAGCGCCCGCTGCCACTGCTCGCCCTTCTCGCACGCGCTGATCCCAGCGCTGTAGCTGATGACGTCGGGCTCCAGCTTCACTTCCCTCATCTCGCTCAGCAGCGCCAGCGCCTTCTGCCACTGCTCGCCCTTCTCACACGCGCTGATCCCAGCATTGTAGCTAACTAGGGCTGACCCGTGGACTCCGTCCACGACATCTTTCTGGAATGGTTCTCGGAGGAACGGCGCAGATTGTACCGAAAATCTACAAACACGGCGGCGGCTTGGGCGGCGGCAGCGAGACCGCGCCTTCGTGTCCGAGCTCTTGCAGCGCTGCAGCAGCTTGGCCCAGCGCACTGCTCGTTCACCCCCCTCCTATTGAGGACAGTTTCGAAGTCTCTCGGGGATGTGCGTCGAAGTCGAAGCCCATCTGAGGCGTCTCAGGAGCGCTCGGGGAAGGGCTCGGGAGGCCATCGGGGAAAGCCACCCAAAGCGCCGGGGAGGCTCGCAAGGATCTACAGGGAGGGCCCAAGAGAGCTTCAAGAAAATTTGAAATCCAGTGAACTCTTAAGAGAAACCGCTGTTGGGTCGGCCATCACCTCCGGGCGCGCCTTGATGGTGCGATCCAGTCGCATCACCGCCAACGGGAGGGTTTGTTCGCCATGTCCCATTCTGTTCGCCCAGAGGGTCTGTGGAGGCCTTCGGGCGAACAGAACGGGACAGGGCAAGGAATGGGGAAGACATGTCCGAATCTCCTGGGCCCCCCAGATGCTCGTCCGAAGAATGCGGAGAGGTCCCAGGGTCATATCAATTGGCTGCTGTCCCAGGGGTCCGGTCTGCTTGGCCCGAAGAGTTTGCCAAGGCCCCTGGGGGAACAGAATGGCACAGCATATCGGGCAAAGGGGGGCGGTAGCTGGCCTGTCAGACCCGGCGTTCGTCTTCTGCCCAAGCGGCGCGGGGCCCACGGGCCCCAGGGTTGGCGTCCCGCTGGGATTCCTCTTGTTCGCCCACAGGGTTGGAGGAGGCCTCCAGGCGAACAGAATGGGGCAGGACAATGAATGTGGGAGACTTGTCGCAAGCTCCCAGCCCCCCCAAGTGTGCGCCCGAAGGGTGTGGGGCCGCGTTGGCTCTCTCAAAGGGCCGTCTTGGAGCCGTCTAGGCCCGTCTTGAGGGCGCCGTTTGCCCTGATGGGGCCGTCTTGGTTCGTCGTGGGCCCCTCATGGGCGCGTCCGTAGGCCGTCCTGGGCCCATCGGGGTCCTCGTGGGGCTGTCTTGGAGCCGTCTGGGACCGTGAGGAGGCCGCCTTGGAGTCGTCTTGGGCCCCTCCTGTGCGCCTCCTTGGGCCGTCCTGGGCCCAGCAGGGGCCGTGTTGGCACCCTCTTGGGGCTGTCTTGGAGCCGTCTTGAGCCGTCGCAGCGCGCCTTGGGTTGTGCTGGGTCCGTCTTGGCCCGTCTTGGGGCCTTCCTGGGCGGTTCCTCGGACCCTCCTGGGACTTTCTGGGGCCTCTTGGTGCATCGGACCGCCGAAACGGCGGGAAACGCAAAGGGTGTAACAGTAAACAATGGAAAATTAACGATTTTTGCCAGCTGGGACTCTCTTGCCATCTTGGCCCGTCTTGAGGCCCCGAACGGGCGCGTCCTTGGGCCGTCCTGGGCGCACCCTCCTGGGACCGTCTTGGAATCGTCTTGGGCCGTCTTGAGCGCGCCTTGGGCCGTCCTGGGCCGGTCTGGGGCCGTGTTGGCACCCTCGCGGCGAGGAAGCTCGGAGGCGGGCTCGAGGCCTCTTCGGGGCCATTTTGGAAGCTGTTGGGGCCTCTGTAGGGGCCTCGTTTGGGCTCCTTGGGAGCCTCCTGGGGCCTCTTCGGGGGATTCTTGGCGGCCCCTTGGGGCCTCTTGGGGGCCTGTTTGGGCCTCCTGGCGCCCTCTTGGGGCGGAAGGCTCGGATTTTCGGTCCGTGGTCCCCCTCTTGGCCCCCTCTTGGGCCTGTCTTCGGGCCCTCGTGGGCCGTCTTGAGCGTCTCTTGGGTCGTCTTGGGGCCCTCTTGGGCTGTCTTGGGGCGCTCTTGGAAACCTCTTGGGCCGTTCTGGGGCGCTCTTGGAGGCCTCTTGGGCCGTCTTCGAGCGTCGGAAAGCGGAAAAGGCGAGAAGGCCAAAATCCTTCCAAAACCGTCGTAAAGCGGACGATTTTGAGGCCCAAAACCGTCCAAAACCTCCTGAGGCGGTCCCCTCGTCCGCCCCCCTCGCTTCGAAGCAGTTTTTAAGCCCCGTGGCACCTCTTGGGGATCTCTTTTGGGCTCCTGGGGGCCTCTTGGGCCTCCACTGGATTCGCTGCCCTCGGTCGGCAATCGTCGATCCTACGACGACTCTCCCCAACGGAGAAACATCGAAGGCCCTCGGAGCGTCCAACATTGTTCTTTTGTGCCTTCGATATGCCGGTCGCCTCTCGTCCGCTCCCCCCCTCCTGGAAGCAATTCGGAGGCCACTTAGGGCTTCGTGGGGGCCGTTTGGGGATCTCTTGGGGCGTTTTGGCCTGCGATATGCCTGTCGCCTCTCGTCCGCTCCCCCGCTCCTGGAGGGAATTCTGAAGGCACTGAAGGCTTCGTGGGGGCCGTTTCGGAGCCTCTTCGGCCTTCGTTTGGGCCTCCCGGGGGGGCTCTTAGGGCCCTCTCTGGCCGTCTTGGGTGCCTCTTGGGCCGTCTTGGGGCCGTCTGGAACCCGCCTCGGCGCCTCTTGGGCTGTCGTGGGCCGTCTTGGGCCGCTCCTGGGGCCGTCTTGGGTGCCTCTTGGGCCGTCTTGGGCGCCTCCTGGGCCGTCCGGGGGCCGTCCTGGGGCGTCTTGGGACCGTCTGGGGGCCCTCCTGGCCCGTCTTGGGGCTCTCTTGGGGTCCTCTTCGGCCGTCTTGGAGCGGTCGAGGGGGCTTCTTGAGCCGTCTTGGAGCGTCGGGAAGCCGACGAGGCGAGGTGGCCGAAAACATTGAGAAACACAGTAGAAATCGACGATTTCTGTCGCTCGGGGCCCTCTTGGGAGGCCTCTTGGGAAGCCTCTTCGGGCGTCTTGGACGCCTCTTGGGCCGCCTGGGGCGAATCTCGGGCGTCTTGGGCCCATCTTTAAGCATGCCGGGGCTCTCCGGGGCCGTCTTGGGGGCTTCTGGGGGCTCTCTCGACATGTCCTGGGGCCTGCCTGGGCGGCCCGGGGCGGCCCGGGGCCAGCCCGGGGCGGTTTCGGTGCATTGGGGCCTGCGCCCTTCTGGCACGCACTGGCTAGGGCTGACCCGCAGCCTTCCGGCCGCGGAATCTGCCCGCCATGGCGTGGACGTGGAAGTGGAGCGTCTCTGGGGCCTCGCGGGTAAGGGGAGGGTGGAGGGGACGGCATGGAATGAGGAGGTGGCCGCTGACTGGAGGTGGAGGCGAGCGAGGGATGTAGGCAAGCAGGCCTGAAGGCAGGAACGCGGAGGTGGAGGCGGTGCCAGTAGAAGCACACCCATGTAGGCATGACATGGTGTGGACAGAAGCTGTTTCTGACGCCGCAGTCTGTGCTCATCATAGTTTCTGCGGGGAGGGTAGCCGTGAGAAGTTATCTGCTCTCCGCTGGGGCCGAATGATAATTGCATCTGGTAGTCTGGTGACAATGGGGCCACCGGGCGCGGCCTAGAAAATCCGCCGCCGTGCCTGTGCCTGGGTAATGACTCAGGGGCCTCTGGGGTCCCTCTTGAAGGCTTTGGGGCCTCTTGGGGGCCGTCTTGGGGCCTCGTGGGGCTTGCTTCGGGGGACTGTGGGAGGCTCTTGGAGGCCTCTTGGGCCTTGCTAGGAGCTTCTAGGGGGCCTCTTGGGCGCTCCTTGGAGCCTTTTATGGCCACTTCGGCGCGTCTTTGGGCGGAGGGCTCGATCTGTGACGCTCGGGGGCCAGTATCTGCGTGAGGGGTGTCGAAAAATAGCCCTCAAGGGGGCGCATTTATCCACATGCGCCGTCTGGGGACGCGCTTGGAGGCCTGTTGGGCCGTCCTGGGGCGGTCTTGTGGGTCTCTTCGGCCGTCTTGGAGCGTCGGCTAGCCGAGAAGGCGAGAAGGCAAATCTCCTTCAAACTCCATTGAACAATTAAGGATTTTGGCCTCTGGGGGCATGCTTCGGAGGACTGTGGGAGGCTCTTGGAGGCCTCTTGGGCCTTGTTGGGGGCCTCTAGGGGGCCTCTTGGGCGCTCCTTGGAGCCTCTTATGGCCACTTCGGCGCGTCTTTGGGCGGAGGGCTCGATGTGTGACACTCGGGGGCCAGGATCTGCGTGAGGGGTATCGAAATCTGGCCCTCCAGGGGGCGCATGTATCCACGGCAGTTGTGTTACAAGAGGGGGGATCGGGTTTTGAGTTGCCGATAATTCCCTGTTTGAGCGTCCCTCTAATTTCCCTGAAATTTCCATATAATTCGCAAATTCCACTAAGTTCCGTTGAATTTCCCGATAAGCCCCTAGAATTTTGCTATAATTCTCGCCTACTCCAACTAATGATTGTGGGCGTCAGTCATACTCGGTCTTACATGGTTAGCCTAAATTCCTATATTGCACGTAGAGGGGTTGGGACCACAGGAAAACTACACCCATGGACCTCCGAGGCCTACAGGAGCCCTGGGGAGCCACGGGAGGAGGCACGGGAGGAGGCACGGGAGGAGGCTCTCGGCGAGGCGCAACTGCAGGAGAGCAACCCGAGCTCCCCCACTCCTCGCCCCACATGATTTTCACTGCTGGGGATTACCGTCCAAGGGGTTCGGGGATTACCGTCTAGAATTAACGGACCTCCCGGGGACCTCCCAGGGTCCCACCTCCCGTGAACTCTTCCCGATCATTTCCCGATAATTATACTGATAAAAACAATCACAACGAATTACCGGGAAGGCCCCCACCTCCCGGGGCCCCACCTCCCAAGACCTCCCCGGGAAACTTTTCCCTTTAATGCCTGGACGGTAATTCCCGCTAATTCGGGACCTCCCGGGATCTCCCAGAACCCGGAGATGGAGGGCGAATAATACGGAGATGATCCTCCTCCTCCTCCTCCTCCTCCTCCTCCTCCTCCTCCTCCTCCTCCGTCTCCTGCTGTATGCGAACGCACCCACTGGGGCCTTGGAGTCGAAAAATAACAGATAAAGGGAATACAAAACAATTAACGGGAATGCAAAACAATTAACGGGAATACATGA